TTTTTTGGTCATGGGCCTGAACTCTGGGCCTGGGTGCTGTCTCTCAGCTCTTCAGCTCAAGGCTAGCGCTCTACCACCTGAGCCACAGCACCACTTCTGACTTTTTCTGCTTCTGTGGTACTGAGGAATGATGGAACCCAAGGCCTCATGCATGCAAGGCAAGTACTTTACCACTGAGCCACCTTCCTAGCCCTTTTAGAATACATTTCTTTTTTTTTTGGTTGGTCCTGGGGCCTGAACTCTAGGCCTGGGCACTGTCCCTCAGTTCTTCTGCTCAAGGTGAGTGCTCTACCACTTGAGCCACAGCACCACTTCCGGCTTTTTCTGCTTATGTGGTGCTGAGGAATGGAACCCATGGACTCACAAGGCAAGTACTCTGCCACTGAGCCACCTTTCCAGCCCCACATACCACATTTTTTAAAATCCATTCATCTACTGAGGGGCATCTGGTTTGGCTTCATATCTTAGCTATGGTGAATAATGGGCAGCACTTTTTTCTTTGAAAATGAAGAGTAGTTGCAGTAGTACTCAGTTATTTATTCAGCTCTTATTCTCTTTCTAAAATCAAAAGTTTTTTTTTTTTTTTTTTGCCGTGCTGTCCTTCAGCTCTTCAAGACTAGCACTGTACCACTTGAGCCACAGTTCTACTTCTGGCTTTTTCTGTGTATGTGGTGCTGAGGAATTGAACCCAGGGCCTCATGTATGCAAGGCAAGCACTCTACCACTGAGCCACCTTCCCAGCCCCAGAGTTTTCAATTTTTATAAACTACTAGTGTTCAGAAGTAGTTTATATGGTTTGTATTTCTTTGTTAATCTCAAAATGAAATGTTGTTTGTTTGCTTGTTTTTACGAAACAGACTAGATTTTGCTTTCATGTTTAGGTATAGGTCTTTGCCTTTCATATTTTTTAACTCATTGTATAAGAGACATTTTATCTCTTTTTTTTGGGGGGGTGGTCTGGTCAAGAAGCCTGAACTCTGGGCCTGGGCGCTGTCCCTCAGCTTTTCAGCTCAAGGCTAGCGGACTACCACTTCAGCCACAGCACCACTTCCGGCTTTTTTTCTTTTTGCTTATGTGGTGCTGAGGAATCGAACCCAAGGCCTCATGCATGCAAAGCAAGCACTCTACCACTGAGCCCCAAGACATTTTATCTTTAGTCAAAAAAAATTTTTTTTGGTTGGTCATGGGGCTTGAACTCTGTGCCTGGGTGCTATCCCTCAGCACTTTCGCTCAAAGCCAACACGCTACCAACTTGAGCCACAGCCACAGCACCATTTCTGGTTTTCTAAGTGGCTTATTTAGAGATAAGAATTTCATGGACTTTTCTGCCTGGGCTGGCTTTGAACCTCTCAGGAGGCTGAGATTGGAGGATCATGGTTTGAAGCCAGCCCAGGCAGGAAAGTCCATGAGACTCTTACCTTCAACTAACCACCAAAAGCCAGAAGTGGAGCTGTAGCTCAAGTGATAAGAGTGCCATCCTTGAGCAAATAATCTAAAAGACAGCACCCAGGTCCTCAGGACTGACGCGCGCGCGCACACACACACACACACACACACACACACACACACACTAACTATACAGTCTCCAGGCTGGGAATGTGTCTCAGTGGTCGAGTGCTTGCCTAGCATGCTGGTTTAGTTCCTCAGTACCACATAATAATAAAATTTTATAAATAAATATATAATTAAACATTTAGAACCAGCTTATTCATATGAATGTTTATGAAGCACACAATATATGTATTTTAGATATCAAAGACATAAAATGAGCATTATTTGTGATTATAATGGATGCACTCTGTGGTAGAGGTGTTTATATGATATGAAGGAATGGATAATTCTACTTGATAAGAGCTAATTATTGTGCAAGCAGATTTTTGCTGATGATAGAGAAGAGTATATATCCTGAATAGCTGTATATTTGTGTTTCTGAAATATGAGCTAGGTGTTTGAGGAGAGTATTCTTTATCATTTCCTACTATAAATGATTAACAATAAATTTAGCTATTTTATTTCCAAGTTGTTTAGTTTCTAAGGTAGACTGGGTTAGTGTTCTATAATTGTTTGGCCTGAAAAGAGTCTGTCAGATTTGGATTGGACTGCACCTATCATAAGTAGCGTGGTTTGAGAGCTAAATTCTGGTTAGATTCAGAGTGTATTAGCAGAACATACCCCTTACGTGTGTTCTTATGAACATACCTCTTTCTTTGAGGGCAGCCTTCCTCAAGAATGTTGAGTCACCTTAATAGTTGTCAGAATTGATTAGTTAGTTTGAGATGAGGGCTGGAATGAACCATATGTGAAAGTCTTGAAGGAGGACTGTGATTAAAACCATAGAAATAAAAATTGTGCTAAAGTACTTATGAAACACTAGTGAAAGTTTTGTGTTTTACATTTTTATTGCAGCCTACAACACAGCAGTCACCTCAGGATGAGCAGGAAAAGCTCCTGGATGAAGCCATACAGGCTGTGAAGGTACAGTCCTTTCAGATGAAGAGATGCCTGGTAAGAATGAAAATCTGAGAGACACAATTATAGATTATAGGTTCCTAAGGAAGCATGTGCAATGTTTTCTAAAGTGAAATAGCCTGCAGCTTCTGGTCAATCCAATCTTCAGCATCCACCAACATCTGTCATTAGATTCACTTCTGTCTAGCAGTGTATCAAGCATATTTATCAGTATTACATATATGAATAGATTGTATGTTTTGCATGTTAGAATATAAGCTTGTGAAAACTAGAGAACTTGCCTTTTATTTTACACATCACTCTTAACATCACCACACTAATAGCTGACCTGAATTTCTTTCTTTCTTTTTTCTTTTCTTTTTTTTTTTGGCGGTCCTGGGGCTTGAACTCTGGGTCTGGGCACTGTTCCTCAGCTCTTCAGCTCAAGGTGAGCTCTCTACCACTAGCCGCTCTAGCCACAGAACCACTTCTGGCTTTCAGATAGTTAATTGGAAATAGGAATCTTATGGACTTTTCTTGCCAGGGCTGGCTCTGAACCGTGATCCTCAGATCTCAGCGTCCTGAGTAGCTAGGATTACAGGTGTGAACCACAGGCACCAGGCTTTGAGGATCAAAGTTTTAAGTCAGCCTAGCAGACAAATCTCTGAGACTCTTATCTTCAATTAACATGCAAAAAGCTGAAACTCAAGTCAAGCCAGGGTGGCTTACACCTGTAATCCTGGCTACTCATGAGGTTGAGATCTGAGGATTGTGGTTCAAAGCCAGCTCTGGCAGACAAACCCATATGAGACTTTATCTCTAATTAACCAGTCAAAAACTGGAAGTGGTGCTATGGCTCAAAATGATAGAGTGCTAGTCTTGAGCAAAAGAGCTCAGGGACAGTGCCCAGGCCCTGAGTTCAAGCCCCATGACCGACAAAAAGAAAAAGCTGCAACTGGTCAGGTGCCCATGGCTCAGACCTATAATCCTAGCTACTCAGGAGGCTGAGATCTGAGGATCAGTGTTCAAAGATAGCTCAGTTAGAAAATTCCCCATGAGACTCTTTTTTTTTGGCGGGGGGGGGGGGGGGGTTTGGGCGGGGGGCCTGAACTCTGGGCCTGGGCGGTGTCCCCCAGCTCTTCAGCTCAAGGCTAGCGCTCTCCCACTTGAGCCACATAGTGCCCCTTCCGGCTTTTTTCTTTTTGCTTATGTAGTGCTGAGGAATCGAACCCAGGGCCTCAGGCATGCAAGGCAAGTGCTCTACACTGAGCCACCTTCCCAGCCCCGCCCCATGGGACTCTTATCTCCAGTTAACCACCAAAAAATCAGAAGTGCTGTGACTCAAGTGGTAGAGCACTAGCGCTGAGCACAAAAGGTCTGTGACAGCACCCAGGCTGTGAATTTAATTTAAGCGCTCTACCACTGAGCCACCTTCCAACCCTTGTGGTAGAAAATTTTGAGAGCATGAAACTCTTGAGTTCAAGCCCAATTACAGGTACAAAATAATAATTGTTGCATAAATGGTTTTAATTTGTTTCAATTTGAATTATTCAGCTTTTCTTTCCTCCCTGGATCTTAAAGACTTTTAATTTTTATTCTAAATAGATACATTTATTATAGAAACTAGCTTAAAAATTACACACTGATGCTATTTAATATATTTTAACATTTGAAGAGATAGAAATAATCTGTAAGGGCTGGGATGGTGGCTCAGTGGTAGAGCGCTTGCCTTGCATGCATGAGGCTCTGGGTTCGATTCCCCAGCACCACATAAGCAAAAAGAAAAAAAGCCAAAAGTGGCGCTGTGGCTCAAGTGGTAGAGCACTAGCCTTGAGCTGAAGAGCTGAGGGACAGCGCCCAAGCCCAGAGTTCAAGCCCCACGACTGGACCCAAAAACAACAACAACAAAAACCAAAACAAAACAAAGAAATAATCTGTAAATACTATAGACTGGATGAAAATGGAAGGAATCAAAACAAGTAGGCTAGTTTAAGTAGGCCTTCTTGCTGTAGTGTTAACAATTACACTTTAGTAACAGTCTTAGGTTTTCTTTTTCTTTTTTTTAAAAATTATTTTATTTTAATTTTATTTTGTTTTTTTAATTGTAAAAATACTGTACAGAGGGGTTACAGTTACATGAGCAAGGTAATGAGTACATTTCCTATCAAACATTGTTACCTTCTCCTTTTGTTTTTCCCCTACCCTTCTTTCCCTCCCACTTCCACAACTACACTCCCTTCCTTTCCTTCTCTCCTCCTCCCCACCAAAATTGTAAAGTTTGTGTTTCATTTATGTTCATTTTCCATATTGATTTCTTTAATTTAACTTTTGTCAGCAGTGATCTTGCAAGTCCTTTTTGATAAGATCAGATTCCTATCAAAGTACATATTGTAACCCCACTGTACAGTATTTTCACAATAAAAAATATTCTAATAATAAAAAAATCACATGGTACATTATAAATACATTAAAAACAACAGCAAGAAAGATTTAAAAAAATGAAAATGAGATATTTTCAGCTACATATTTGTAAACACCAAAATGCTTAACTATATAACTTGGTTTAAGAGAATATTAGAAAACAGGTACTTTGACAATCTTATATTTTCTAAGCTTAGTATTATGCTTTCTTATTTTATTGTATTTTTTGGTTACTTAATTTGGAAAGAAAACTGAGGGTCTTGGAATGGAGAAAATTAGTTTTGCACTTGCTTGTATCTTTTGTCTGTAAATGGATAGGGTTTCTTATATTTTAAAGAATTGTTTGTATCTCTGAGTTAAGTGGGGCATATGGACATTTCGAGGGTATAAAGAACTCAGGAGAAAAACAGAGTTTCATGGATAGTTTTTCCAAATAGTTCTATAGGGTCTAGCCTATGATAAAGCCATCGACAAGATAAAGTTACCTTACTTCAAGGCAGTTTACCATTTTAACACTTGGTCACAGTAAAATAGAAAATAATGGGATGCGTTTGGTGGTTCATGCTGTAATTCTAGCCTCATGGGAGACAGAGACAAAAGTGTGGAAGTTCAAGGCCAGACTGGGCAAAAAGATAGGGAAACTGTCTCAAAAAAGAAGCCAGGTGTGGTTTCAGGACTGTAATTCTAGCTGGGTAGAAGCAGAGGTCTAGAAGAATTGTAGTGTGAGTGCAACCTTAGGCAAAAAGCACAAGATAGTATCTCAAAAATAACTAAAGCTGGCTGGGAATGTGGCTTAGTGGTAGAGTGCTTGCCTAGCAAACATGAGGGCGATTCTTCAGTACCACAGAAACAGAAAAAGCTGCAAGTGGCTCTGTGGCTCAAGTGCTAGAGTGCTAGCCTTGACAAAAGAAGCTCAGGGACAGTGCCCAGGCCCTGAGTTCAAGCCCCATGACTGACAAAAAGAAAAACTAAAAAATAAAGCAGATCAGGCACCAGTGGCTCATGCTTATAATCCTAGCTATTCAGGAGGCTGAGATCTGAGGATTGAGGTTCTAAGCAGCCCAGGCAGGAAAAGCCTGTAAGACTTTTATCTCTAGTTAACTATGAAAAAGCCAGAAGTGGAGTTGTGGCTCAAGTGGTAGAGTGCTAGATGTGAGCAAAAATCCCCTCAGGACAGCCTCCAGGCCCTCATTCAAGCCCCAGGATCACAACAAAAAAACAACAAAACATTTACAACAAAATGAGTTGAAGTATGGATCAAACAGCATTTACCTAGCCAGAAGATCCTTAGATACTTTTCCCCACCCACAAAAAACGTAGTGAATTAATAGAGCAATTTCCTAGTCTCTAGCTGTTGAAAACTTGAAGTCCAGAGAAGTAACACAAAAGAGAAACAGCATGAAGTTTATTTTCTTTTAATTTTTAAAAAATTATTATTATTAGGGGCAGGGGGAGGCTGGGAAGGGATGTGAAGGGTAAACAAAGGAGGAGGCTGCAATGCTTGATAAGAAATGTACTCATTATTTTGCCCATGTAATTGTAACCCCTCTGTACAGTATGTTCACAAAAAATAAACAAAATAAAAATAAATTATTATTATTATTTTGTTGGGCTTGGACTCTGGGCCTGTGCTCTACACCTGCCCTCTTCAGCTCAAAGAAAGTGCTCTACCACTTAAGCCAAAGCACCACTTCTGGTTTTCTGGTGGTTTATTGGAGATACGAATCTCACAGAGGGGCTTGTAAGGTGGCTCACTGGTAGAGTGCTTGCCTTGCATGCATGAGGCCCTGGGTTCCATTCCTCAGCACCACATAAGCAGAAAAAGCCAGAAATGGTGCTGTGGTTCAAATGGTAGAGCTCTAGCCTTGAGCTGAAGAGCTGAGGGACAGCGCTCAGGTCCAGAGTTCAGGCCCCATGACCAACCAAAAAAAAAAAGAATCTCACAGACTTTTCTGCTTTCAACTGTGATCCTTATCCGCAGATCTCAGCCTCCTGAGTAGCTAGGATTACAGGCATGAGCCACTGGTGCCTGGCATGAAGTTTGTTTTTATGTCACTAAAATAATTTCTGTTGTATACTCTTGAATTGTGTTATAATAAATTCATGATAGAAGGAATTTGTATAATCAAGGTAAATATTTATATTAAGCATTCTCATCAGTTCTCTTGGTATTTCTGTAGGACAAAAACAAACTTATGGACGCTCTGAAACATGCTTCTAACATGCTTGGTGAACTCCGGACGTCTATGTTATCACCAAAAAGCTACTACGAACTTTGTATCTTTTCAATGTTGAAATACAAGCATATGGGCCATACTGGTTTTTTTAATTTTTATTATGATATACAGAGGAGTTACAATTACATAAGTCAGGTAAAGAGTATAATTCTTTTTCTCTTGCTTCTCCTAGGTTTCCCCTCCCATCCCCATCTACAATACACTTATTTCTTGATAAGACCAATTCTGTTACTTATTAAATTTTTCTGGAATTATACCGTTCTTCATTATCTTAAAAAGTATTCAACTTCCTTGAAGATGTACTAAAAAAAAAAAAACCTTGCTTTCTGTGCTTAAACTTTTTTTTTCCTTTGGTGTCCTTTCTGGAGTTTGAACTCAAGACTTGGGCACTGTCCTTGAGCTTTATTGCTCAAGAGTATTTATTGTTTTACTATTTTGGCATTTTGAGTGGTTAATTGGAGATCAGAGTCTCAGGGACTTTCCTGTTGGGCTGGCTTTGAACTGCAATCCTCAGATCTCAGCATCCTCAGTAGCTGGGATTATAGCTATGAGTTAACCATGACACCTGCCTCTGTGCTAAACTTTTGTGTTTTGCAGATTGGGGATTTAACTGGTTCACTGTCATTCTAGACTTGCATTCTGCCACTAAACTAAACCCTCTACTCTATGTTTACACTCTTTAAATGGGTTGTTACTATATTTCAATTCTCAGGTATTTCTCAAAAACTATTAGGCAGTTTAAAGATGGGGGGGGCGGGACGGAGGACTTAACTGTGTTTTCTAGTCTGGTTCTCCTGCCTCAGCCTCCTGAGTGCTGGGATTTATATGCTTACACTGTACCTAGCTTTCTCCATAGTTTCTAATCTTGTGTAGGTTGAGCCCAAAGCTTTATACATGCTGGGCAAGTGTCTTACCTCTCAGCTGCATCCCTGTCCCTGCCCAATAGTTTCAATGACTTCAATAAGTTTTAGAGTTTTGGTTGGAGTATCTTTGAGTCCTTAATCATAATGAAAAGATATGGCTATTTCTGATGAGCTACACTACTTGGAGGTCTACCTGACAGATGAATTTGCTAAAGGACGAAAAGTAGCAGATCTCTATGAGCTTGTACAATATGCTGGAAACATAATCCCAAGGCTGTAAGTAATTAGAATCTGAACACTTTTATATCTATATTTTTTACCTTATTCTTTTTTTTAATAAAAATTAACTTTTGAGTATCTGATTTCTTAACAATTTGAGTCTAACATTGTGGCGAATACTTATTATTTGAGTAAATTTCCTTTTTATTAGAATTTGAAAATAGAAAAAAAAGTGGACATGTTATTTTAAGGTCTTTTAAATATTAGAAAAATTAACTATCTTTTCCTGTATGTTTAAAGGTGAGACGGACCGACAGATACATGTAGATGGTAATTTAATACTCTTCCCTTATCTAGCTACACTTGGTAACATAGTGAGACACCTCCCCCCACCATCTTATCTGGCTATACTTGGTAATCATAGTCCAGAAATTTTAAATGGAAAATGCCAGACGTGATAAAGTTTTAAATTGTAAACTGTTCTAAGTAGCATGATGAAATCTTGCATTGCCCCTACTAGGGATGGTTTGTCAAGCATGTCCACATTGTATATGCTGTTTACATTTAGTTACTTAGTGGCCATTGTAGCTATCAACTGTTATGCTATTTTGGTAGTGTAAAGCTATCTCAGTGTCACTTACCTTACTTCATCTTACCACACAGGTTTTATATCATCTCATATCATCACAAGGGGGTACCTAATAAAATAGGATATGAAAGCAAGAAAAAGAAAGATGGGCTGGGAAGATGGCTCAGTGGTAGAGCGCTTGCCTTGCATATGCAGCCTGAGGCCCTGGGTTTAATTCCTCAGCACCACATAGGCAAAAAGAAAAAAGCCGGAAGTGGGGCTGTGGCTCAAGTGGTAGAGCGCTAGCCTTGAGCTGAAGAGCTGAGGGACAGCGCCCAGACCCAGAATTCAGGCCCCATGACCGGACACCCCCCCAAAAAAAAAAAAAGAAAAAGAAAGACATAACTTTTTAATTTTAATCATACAACTTTTTGTTACAGTATATTGTCATAATTATTTTATTATTGTTCATTTAATGTCCTTAATTTATAAAAGGATAAATATGTATATACAGGAAAAGTCAATGCTATCTGAAGTTTCAGTCTTTTTTTTTTTTTTTTTTGGGTCTAGTCGTGGGGGCTTAACTCTGAGCCTGGGCACTGTCCCTCAGCTCTTCAGCTCAAGGCTAGCGCTCTAGTACTTGAGCCACAGCGCCACTTCCAGCTTTTTTCTTTTTGCTTATGTGGTGCTGAGGGATCGAACCCAGGGCCTCATGCATGCAAGGCAAGCACTCTACCACTGAGCCACCTTCCCAGCCCCGAAGTTTCAGTCATTGAATGGGGATCTTGGAACATACCTGAACATAGTTCAGAGAGAACTGATTAGTGTGTATGGTCTTTTTGTTCTTTGGTCTATACTGGAATTTGAAATCAGAGCCTTGCACTTGTTAGGTGGATTCTAACAAGGTTAGGGGATATTTGCTATCCCTCCATCTCTACCTCCTAAGCCTAGGATTACAGACTTGAGCCATCATGCCCATCTCTGTATGTATTTTTAGAAATCAGTCAGTCAACCAGACTTGGTGTTCACCTATGATCCCAGTTCTTCAGAGGCTGAGGGAAGAGGATCTTGAGTTTAAAATTAGCATGTGCAATATAGGAAACCCTGTCAAAAAAAAGTCGGTGATATTTGTTTATTTTTGCTTTCTTTTTTATGTTTTTAGTGTATTAAATCAAGTGATGTTTTCCTCATAATTTAGGAGAAGATAACATTGTTCCTATCTTATTTATTGTATATAATATGTTTGGACATTACCAAATTCTTGATTTGAATATTTTATTTCTAATTAAATGTCTCCTCATAATTTTCCTAGCTATCTGTTGATTACAGTTGGAGTTGTATATGTCAAGTCATTTCCTCAGTCCAGGAAAGATATTTTGAAAGATTTGGTAGAAATGTGCCGTGGTGTACAGCATCCATTGAGAGGTTTATTTCTTCGGAATTATCTTCTTCAGTGTACCAGAAACATTTTACCTGATGAAGGAGAGCCAACAGAGTAAGTAGTCATCTTGGTTTATTTACGTATTTTTCATTATAGAACACTTACAAACAGTATATATCAAAATAAGAAAATTTCAATCCTTACAACCAATTAGTTTCTAGTAGCATTTTGTGTATAGATTTCCATTGTGATATAGAACTCCTCAGTATATGTAGTATGATCTAAAATGTGTTATTATGCAGATTGTTTTTGCTTTTTTTCATTTGACACAATTTAGAACATCCCTCCCCCCCATATGAGAACAAATTATTACTTTTCTCCCTCCAGTTTGGCTTTCTTACTCATAGCATATGCTCAACCACTTGAACCAGGCCTCCATTCTAGCTCTTTTGCTGCCTATTGGAGATGAAGTCTCTTGGACTTTCTGCCACTTCCTGAGTTAGGATTACATGTGTGAGCCATTGGTATCTGGCTCTTTTTTGTTGTTACTGTTGTTAGTATAAATTAGTTGTACAAAAGATTTTCATTGTGATATTTATGTATATGCATATAATGCACTTTGGTAAATTTCAATCTATATTCTTTTTTTTTTTTGTCGGTCGTGGGGCTTGAACTATGGGCCTGGGTGCTGTCCCTCAGCTCTTCAGCTCAAGGCGAGCGCTCTACCACTTGAGCTACAGC